TGTTGACATTCACTATTATGTTGAAGTTCACGTTCATGAAAATATTAATGTTGAAGTTCACATTGACAGATGACATTCACATTAATATAGACATTTTTATTGACATTCACATTGACATTGACGTTGGTGTTCATGTTACTATATGATGTTACAGTTATGTTTATGTTGATGTAGATTTTTATGTTGATGTTGATTTTTAAGTTGACGTTGACATGGACGTTGACGTTTACATTAACGTTTATGCGTACCTTGATGTTTATATTAACGTTAACATTCGTGTTTACGTTTATGTTCAAATTTACGTTGATATTCATGTTTACATTGACGTTCATATTTACCTTGACGTTCATATTAATGTTTATGTTTGCTTGAACATTAAAATTGACATTGATATTAACATTGATGTTGATATTTACATTGACATTTAAATTCATGTTGATATTTATATTGACGTTGATATTCATGCATATGTTTACGTTAATGTTGATGTTAAAATTGATGTTCACGTTGACGTGGAATTCACATTTAAGTTAAGGTTCACATTTACATTTAAATTCTTGTTCATATTTATGTTAACATTGATGTTTACATTGAAATTGATGTTTACTTTGACATTTAAATTGATGTTCACATTTACATTGACATTTATATTGATGTTGATGTTCACGTTCATGTTCACATTGACGTTGATGTTGCTGTTCTTGTTGACTATGATGTTGATGTCTATGTAGATATTGACATTGACGTTAACATGGACATTGACATTTACGTTCACATTATCGTTGATAAAAACATTGATGTGAACATTTATGTTGACTTTCATGGTAATGCTCGCATTCCCATTAACGTTCACATTTGCAATTTATTTTGATGTTGACATTGATATTGACATTCACGTTCACAATGACATTGACGTTTACATTCACGTTGATGTTCAAATTGAAGTTCACGTAAACGGTCTTATTCACATTGACATTCACATTCACATTCATGTCGACATTTACGTTGACGTTCATGCTATAATTAATGTTGACGTACATATTATCATTTACATTGAAGTTGATGTTGATGTTGACATTGACATTCACATTCACATTTACGTTGATGTTCACATTCACGTTCATATTTACGTTGACGTTCACGTTGATATGGACATTCACATTAATGTTAATATTGTTGTTCACATTGACATTAATGTTAAAATTTATATTCACGTTAATGTTAACGTAAATGTTGACACTCACATTACCTTTAACATAAGATTTACATTGCAATTTACATTGACGTTGACATTCACGGTCACGTTCATATTGACGTTTACATTCATGTTAAGGTTTTTATTTATGCTGAAGTTGAAGTTCAGATTTACGTTTATGTGGATATTCAAGTTCACATTAATGTTGATGTTCACGTTCACGTAAACATTCCTGATAACTCTTAGGTTTATAGTGATGTTGACGTTCAGGTTCAGGTTCATATTGACGTTGCTGTTCACATTTAGGTTAACATTGACATCGACATTCCCATAAACGTTCATGTTTAAATTCACGTTCATGTCTACGCTGAAATTTACGTTGATATTTACGCTAATGTTTATGATTACATTCACGCTACTGTTTATGTTCACACTGACGTTGACGTTAACATTGAAGTTGAAGTTCACGTAGTCGTTCACTTTGATGTTGAAGTTGATGTTCACATTCATTTTGACATTCACATTAATTTTAGAATTGAAATTCACGTTGTTATTCACGTTGACATTCATATTGACGTTCACATTGACATTGATGTTGAAGTTGATATTCACATTGACGTTCATTGTAAAATTTATGTTGACATTCATATTCACGTTCACGTTTATTTTAATATTCATGTTCACTTTTATGTTCACGATTGACATTTACTTTAACATTCTCATTGACGTTGATGTTGATGTTCATGTTCAATTTACGTTGACGTTTACATTCATGTTGACATTCTGGTTGACGTTTATATAATTGTTGACGTAGATGTTGATGTTGAAGTTGATATTTATGTTGTTGTTGACGTGGATGTTTACGTGTACAGGGAGGTTCATGTTTATGTTTGCGTTGATGTTCACATTGACATTGACGTTTACATTGACGTTGATGTACACATTTACATTGACGTTTATGTTAATATTGATAACAGTTACGTTGACGTTCACATTTATCTTGACGTTCAAATAAATATTTAGGTTGATGTTTACATTCATGTTGACATTAACATTGACGTTCATGTTGATGGTCACGTGCACATTCACATTGACGTTTATGTTGACATTCATGATGATGCACACATTGATGTTGACGTTAGTGTTGACGTTAATGTTGACATTGACATTGATATTTACATTTACTTTGACATTAATGTTGACGTTTATACTGATATTTATGCTGAGATTTACGTTGATGTTTACGTTGAAGTTCATATTCACATTGATGTTGACATTGACATTCACGTCACGTTGAACTTCACGTTCATGTCAACATTAATGTTGATGTTCACGTTGATATTTACATTGGTATTCACGGTAACATTGACACTGATGTATACATTGACATTCACATTTACATTAATCATCACATTCATATTCATATTTATGTTAACATTCATGTTGACATCGACGTTCAAATTGACGTTAATATTGACATTGACGTTCACCTTCACATTCACATTAACGTTGATGTTCTCATTGACTCTTACATTGATTTTGACGTTGAATTTGACGTTGAGGTTTACATAGACAATTATATTGACATTCATGGTGACTTTCACGTTGATGTTCAAGTTCATGTTGACATTTAAATTGTTGTTCATATTAATGTTGGTATTAGTTTTCACATTCCAGTTAACATTTATGATGACATTCACCTTTAAGTTTACGTCCATATTAAAATTCACGTTCATGTTCAAATTGATGTTGACCTTTAAGTTCACATTAACATTGATGTATGTGTTGACATTCATATTTGCAATTTACATTAATGTTGACGTTGATGTTGACATTCACGTTCACATTGACATTGACATTGATGTTCACGTTGATGTTCAAATTGAAGTTCACATCGATGGTCTTATTCATGCTGATATAGACATTCACATTCATGTTGACATTTACGTTGAAGTTGATGTTGATGTTTGTATTTACGGTGACGTTCATATTTATGTTCATAGTAAGGCTGACATTCATGTTTATGTGGACATTCACATAAATGTTATTGTACACATTGACGTTCACGTTAACGTGAACATTAATGTTGACATTCACAATTACATTCTTAGTTACGTTGACTTTCATGTTTATGTGTACATTCACGTTAATGTTAACATTGAAGTTTACATTAACATGAACGTTAATGTTGACGTTCACATTAACTTTAATATTGATGTTCACATTACCATTTACATTGACGTTGACATTCACGTTTACGTTCGAGTTGACGTTGAAATTCATGTTAACATTTTTAGTGTCGTTGATGGGAATGTTCACATTCACATTGATATTGATATTCACGTTCACGTTAACATTCTTGATGACTCTTAGGTTGATGTTGATGTTGAGGTTGAAGTTGACGTTCGGGTTCACATTGACGTTCAAGTTGACGTTGATATTTACATTTAGGTTCACATTAACATCGACATTCCTATTGAGGTTAATGTTCATGTTCAAATTCATGTCTAGGATGACGGTTACATTGACATTTACACTAACGTTTATGATGATATTCACACAGAAATTTATCTTCACACTCATATTGCTTTTAACGTTAAAGTTGAAGTTCACGTAGTCATTCTGAAGTTGATGTTCACATTCATGTTGACATTAACATTAATGTTAATATTGACATTCACGTTGATGTTCACACTGACGTTGATGTTGACTTTTACATTGACATACACGATGACATTGACGTTGAACTTGACGCTGACATTAATGTTCATGTTACAATTGATATTGACGTTCACATTTACGTTTACATTCACGTTCATTTTGATGTTCACGTTTAAATTAACATTGATGTTGATGTTGATGTTCACGTTAAATTGACGTTGATATTTACATTCATATTGACATTCTAGTTGACATTTATATTGATATTGACTCAGATGTTGATGTTGAAGTTGATTTTTATGTTTTCGTTGATATGGACGTTTACATATACAGTGACATTGTTTTTTTATGTGTATTATGATATTCACATTGACATTGATGTTTACATTGACATTGATGTTCACATTTACATTGACGTTGGTGTTAACCTTGATAACGTTCATGTTAATGTTAACATTCATGTTGATGTTCACATCGACGTTGAGTTTGATATTCGTATTCATGTTGACTTTAATGTTAACGTTCACATTGATGTTCATATGCACGTTAATATTGACATTCATGATGATGTGCACCTTGATGTTGATGTTAATATTGATATTGACATTGATTTTCATATTCATATTGACGTTGATGTTGATGTTTATGCTAATATTTACATTGACATTTATTTTTACGTTCACGTTCACATTGATGTTGACGTTGACATTGACGTTCACGTGCATGTCAATATTAATATTTATGTTCACATTCATGTTTACATTGAAATTCACTTTAACATTGACGTTGACCTTCAAATTTATTTTAACGCTCACATTCATGTTGATGTTCACGTTCACATTTACGTGACATTCATATTGATGTTATCGTTCATGTTGACGTTAACGTTCACATTGACGTTCACATTGTCATTGATGTTGACCTTCAGGTTCTTATTGATGTTGATATTCAAATTGACGTTTTTATTGATGTTCACATTGAGGTTTACGTTGACATTGATGTTAACATTCATGTTGATGTTCACATTGACGTTTACATTGATGTTTAAGTTCACATTGATATTGACATTGACGTTCACATTTATGTTGACGTTTACATTCACGTTCAAGTTAATGTTTACATTGACGTTCACATTTAAGTTTACATGCACTTTGACATTCACGTTCACGTTGATATTGATATTGAAGTTCACATTCACGTTGATGTAAACGTTGACGTTCACATTGATATTTACGTAGATGTTCACATGCACATCCACGTTCATGTTGACATTCACATTGATGTTTATGTTTATGTTGAAGTTGATGTTAACGTTGACGTTAATGTTTACATTGACATTCATATTTACATTGACGTTGATGTTTATACTGATGTTTACATTAACGTTCAAGATGACGTTTACCTTCGCATTGACGTTCATATTGATGCTCAAGTTTATGTTTGCATTGAAGTTCATGTTCATGTTGACGTTCAAATTGAGGTTGACTTTGACATTCACATTCATGTTCACATTGAAATTCACGTTATCGTTGATGTTGGCGTACATATTGACATTAAGGTTGACATTATCATTGATGTTGCATTGATGTTTACGTTGACATTCGCATCACATTTATGTTGAATTAATGTTTATGTTGACATTAACATTGACATTGACATTGACACTTACACTGACATTGACGTTCACATTGAGGTTTACGTTAATGTTTACATTAATATTGATGTTGATGTTTACGTTTATTTTGACACTTTTATCAACGTTTTCAATACTGTTGACATTGATGTTACCATTCATGTTGATGTTAAGGTTTACAGTCATATTCATGTTGACGTTGACGTAAACATAAATGTTTACATTGACATTTGCCTTCATGTTAATGTTCACGTTGATGTTTCTATTGATGTTCACACTGACGTTCACATTGACATTTGCAATTAAGTCACATTGATGTTCACGTTGATGTTTATGTTCACGTTTAGGTTGACATTGATTTTTATGTTGACCTTCATGTGCACTTTCACATTAACATTTACGATGTTATTTATATTGATGTTGACATTAACGTTCACATTCACATTAACGTTCACATTAACTTTCACGCTAATTTTAATGTTGACATACACATTGATATTCAGGTTTAAGTTAAAACTCACGTTCACGTTCACATTCACATTACATTAATGTTCACTTTAATGTTGACATTCACATTGTCATTAACATTTACATTAACATTTATATTGATATAGACGTTAATGTTTTTGTTCACGTTAAGGTTTAAGTTGATATTTACGTTAAAATTGATGTTGACATTCACGTTTACGTTGACATTGATGTTCACATTGACGTTGGCTTTGACGTTCACGTTGATGTTCACATTGACGTTCCAGTTGATGTTCGCTTTGACGTTCACGTTGATGTTCACATTCACATTGACGTTGACATTCACGTTCATGTTCATGTTGACGTTTATGCTGACATTTATGTTGATGTTTACTTTCACATCGATGTTTACATTCACATTGATGTTGATGTGGAATTCACATTTATGTTGAGGTTCACGTTCACGTTAATATTCACTTTTACATTTATAGTGACGTTCATGTTTATGTTGAAGTTTACATTGACGTTGATATTGATGTTGATGTTCACGTTAATATTGATGTTTACATTGACGTTGATGTTAATGTTCATGATGAATTCACATTTATGTGTTCACATCGACGTTCATGTTCAAGATGATGTTTGCGTTGACATTTGTGTTGACATTGATGGAAATGTTGACGTTGACGTCGATGTAGATGTTGACATTGATATTGACATTCACGTTGATGTTTGTGTTCACATTATCCTAATGATAACATTTATGTCAACGTTTATGTGTACGTTCATGTTCATGCTCACGTAAACATTGATGTTCGCATTTAAAATTTACATTGACATTAACTTTATCGTTTACATTCAAGTGATGTTCAAATTGACGTTACGGTCATATTCACGTTGACATTGACGTATACATTTATGTTCACGTTCACGTTCATATTGACATTCACGTTCATGTTGATGTTCACATTAACATTCACTCTACATATACATTGTTGTTAACATTAAAGTTTAAATTGAAGTTTACATTGACGTTGATGTTGAATCCGCGCTTACGATATTATTCACGTTCACATTCACGTTTATGTTGATGTAACACACTGATGTTGACGTTCTCATTAAGGTTTAAATTTACATTTACGTTTACGTTCACACTTATGTGGGCACTGATGTTGACGTTTAGGTATACGTTGATGTTCACCTTAACATTCCTGTTTAAGTTTTCTTTCACATTGACATTGATGGTGATGCTCACGTTCACCTTTATGTTGATGTGTAAGCTGATGTTGACGTTGACGTGCATGTTGACATTAACATTGTTGTTGACATTTATGTTAAGTTGATGTTCACATTCTTATTGATATTTATGCTAATATTTATGTTGACATTAAGATGACGTTTATATTGATGTTCATATTCACGTTGAAGTTCTCATTGACGTTGAGGTTAATGTTCGCATTCACATTGACCTGAATGTTGACGTTGATGTTAATGTTTATGTTGAAATTCACGATGATGTGCATATTAACGTTGATGTTGATATTGACATTGACATTAATGTTCATATTAACATTGACATTGACGTTTCCACTGATGTTTATATTAAAGTTCAAGTTGATGTTAACATTGCCATTCATATTAAGTTTACGTTTACGTTCACATTATTTTAGACATTGATATTTATGTTGATGTTAATGTTAACATTCACGTTAACGTTTATGTTGATGTTTACATTGACGTATATGTTGACGTTCATGTTCATGATGACGTTTACATTCATTTTGAGGTTGACATTGATGTTCATGTTTACGTTGACGTTGATGTTTATGCTGATGTTTACATTGAAGTTCAAGCTGATGTTTACATTGACATTGACGTTTACATTGTGGTTTACGTTCACATTCATGTTAAGGTTCAAGTATACGTTTATCTTGACATTCATGTTCATGTTAAAGTTAATGTTGATGTTCACATTGACATTCGCATTGACGTAAACATTAACGCTGACATTTTTGTTGATATTCACATTGACGTTGATGTTGATGTTCCTGTTCCTATTGACGTTGATGTTCACATTCTCATTGACGTTTACATTGTTATTGACATTGACTTTTACATTGATATTAACGGAGACGTCAATGATTATGTTATTGACATTTATGTGTACATTGATGTTTACATTGAAGTTTACATTCATGTTCACGTTTACGTTCAAATTTACATTGACATTCATGTTGATATTTACGTTTGTGTTCACATTGCAATTGACATTGACGTTCATGTTGGCACTGATACTTATATTGACATTGACATTCACATTGATGTTGATGTTGATGTTAATATTCTCATAGATTTTTACACTTACATTGATAGTAACATTAATGTTGACGTTCAAGTTGATGTTCACGTTGACGTTCAAGTAGAAGTTCACCTTGACGATCACGTTCATATTCACATTTATATTGATGTTCATGTTGACGTTGACTTTGAATTTGACATTTATGTTGACGTTCATGTTAATTTTGAATTTTACATGACTTTGACGCTTATTTTTATGTTCACCTTGACGTTTCTGTTCATGCTCTCATTTATGTTGACGTTGACATTCACATTTACATTGACGTTGATAAAAATAATCACGTTGATGTTGACATAGACGTTGACGTTTATTTTCACATTGTTGTTGATGCTAACTTTGATGTTAATGCTTATATTGATGTTCATGTTCACGCTCATGTTCATATTAACGTTAACATTCAAAATTTACGTTGACAATGACATTGACTTTAATATTAACGTTCACATTCACATTAAGATTGACGTTGACGTTAAAGTTGATGTTCAAATTGGCATTCACATTGATGGTGATATTCATTTAGACATTGACTTTCACGTTAATGCTAACATTCACGTTGACGTTCATGTTAATGTTAGCATTGATGTTCACATTGTCATTTAAATTGACGTTTATATTGATGTTCATATTAACGTTGACGTTCATATTTACGTTGATGTTCATGTTCACGTTCACATTTACATTGAAATTCTTATTTATTTGGAATTTATCGTTAACGTTAACATTGATGCTTATGTTAACTTTAATGTTGTACTTCACGTTGCCATTTACATTGATATTGACATTCACATTCACATCTGAGTTGAAATTGACATTCACGTTAATGTTTTTACTAACGTTGACATAGACTTTCACATTAATGTTGGCATTAACATTCAAGTTCACATTGATGTTGACGTTCACGTTCACATTAATATTCTCGTTGACTCATACGTTCATGTTGATGTTGACGTTCAAGTTCACATTAATATTCCGGATAGCTTCAGCATCGATATGTAAACTCTAACATCCACCTATGCCTTCACCTATAAATGTACAGTTGTATAAGATTATTACAAACTAGTACTAAGTATTGGTATATGCAAGTTTACACCAATAAGATGCACGATTAAGAATAGCTCTTTCCTAAAAACATTATTTATGGAAAATCAAGTAAGTGGACTTGCCAAATTTGAATTAGGAATGTCAAGGGATTTGCAAAATTTGAATTAGGAAAGTTTCAAGCCATGAGAGTAAAATGCATCATCATACACATCATATTGAAAACAACACATAACATCTTACACATAAAACATAAATATTTTATATCGCACATAACATATTTCATATCATTCGTTCATATGCCATGAGATCTTGGAATAATGGACTTGAAATTAACACTTTCCAAAATAAGTTCTCAATATGTGGGACCTCAACTAGGGATAATTCTTTAGAAAAACAGAATCTGCTTCAATCATTCATACGTACTTCATTTCATTCATTCATAAGCTAGTGTAAACACTAGCCATACCAGGATGTAGTTTAAGAATCTCATCGGTTTTTGCAGTGCAATGATCAAGAATAACCTAGTTTCATTACTTGAGTCTAGCTCAACTCTTGATATTCCTATCCAAGCACATTTGGTATCATTCATATCAATATGTGCATAAATTGCTGCTTGCCTCATTCATTTATTTGAGAAATTTAACTTTAACCGACATAGATCATTTGAACATTATGAAATCCACTGCTCGCGCCACACCAAAAAGAGTTGGAATCACCGGCCAAATTGAATCAAAACATGCTAGCGTACATAGGGAATTGATCCCTGCTAGATCTCTATATTGGTAGTATAGGTTCAAAGACTAGGAGATATAAGGAGACCCATACCTGGCATGCGGAAAGTCTCATCTCATGATTGTTACGTGAACCTCCGCCCTTCCCGAAAGAAGGCATCACCGCTCATAGCTAGACTATCTTCGCTCAGCATAAAGTTCCATTACATTTAACTCATACCTCATGGAAGTTGGCTTCTAGTTTGAGGACATCATGGTTTAATAGATGATTTCTCATCTCATCATTAGTATTAAGTATACATTAATCTTAATATTTTCTTTAGAGTGTTCATAGAGACTAGTAGCTAATTTAGGTTTACACACTCATAGGTAAGTATGTTTTGGTAACATTTACATAGGTTCATTTGAGATTCATCTCATCTTTCACATAAGCCTCTTATCATATTGTAACCACATTCATTAGTTTTAGAATATTTGCTATTCATAATTACTCACCCCTTTTTACGTGAATGTTCATTTCATCATGTGCCAATGCATTTGACACTTTAGTGTGTTTCAGAATCTTACTTTACCCTTCTAGGGTTACATCATTTTGTTACAGAAGGGTTACATCATTTTGTTACATTAGTCTTAGGTTCACTTACTTTACATGTATGCTAGACTTGTGTGTCTATACATACAAACCACGAATCTTCAATCATTGTTCATTTAAGTGATTCATATCTTCATAAGATTAGGTGTTACACGACTTATGCATCTTGAAAGTATGACAAGATCTATATTTCGATCTATGTAGGCAACTTTATTTTTGAACATTTATTCACGTATGACTTATGTATCAATATGGAATTTGAGCAAGGGAACCCGATTTCGAATCCCTTGGACAACACTAACATTTTTATTTATATTAGTGCGATCCACACAAGCTCATTATCTTTTATTTTCCTTTTTCCTTAAACAAGTTTTAGTTTTGACAAAGAGCTTGTGGGATCGAACCCCTACAACCTCATTTTATTTTCTCCTTAATTTAATTTATTCTACCATGTGGTTGTGGGTTAGATTCACACATGCCTGAATTTTTATTTTTCTTTTAATTCTCTATAATGTTTGACACATAGGCTGTGGGTTCGAACCCAAGACACCTCATTCATATTTTTTTTTAATTTTTCTTTTCATTTCGGTCAAGTCACATGTGTTCGAATACCACATGCCACAGTCTCGTTAACTCACATTATTTCAATGAATTTTTACATGGTGAGGTCACAGGTTCAATAGTTACCTCACTTATTTTTCTTCATTTTACATATCTTATTAAACAACTTTACTTGGCTGAAATTAACCAACAAGGTGTTGGATATTTGAGTTATATTTTTCGGTTTCGTTTCATCAACATTTTTAAATAATTCTTAGGGCATTTCGTGAATCATTTAGCTAAAAAAACTTCACTCAAATCAGCCACATTATACTTCATATGAACATCACGATTTATAAAAGTTTGTGCACGTGACATACAGCCATGAACATATCCAACCTACGAATCATTGGGAGCTAGTGACAGGGACATGCAATGGGGTACAACTCTAGTTTTCGGAATAGATTCATGTGACTTCGAAGGGTCTCTTGGGAAAGGGACCAAGAGTAAGAAAACTCAAACCTTATTTTGACTTTCAATCCTTGAACATGATGCAAAAATAGCTCCTCCACTCTCACGTCCAATTCCAAAAGCCTCAACACCAAACTTCGACAAAAAAATCCCTCCCTTTTGCCTAACGTTTTTTGTTATGCATTAGATAATTTTTTAACGTGAATGTTCTTCAAATGCGAAGAACTTTTAGTTGCTAATCAGTTCTTTTGTTTAGGCAAATAGAACGTGAATAGAAAGAAAGACATTGGCGTGAGAGACAGAGTTAAACATGAAAGATTTTTTAGGCTTAGATAAACACTTTGTCAAACTAGGACACTTTTCAACCTTTAAAAAATATCTGATTTTCCTTTTCTTAAATAATCTTATAAATATTTACTAATTAAATTAATTTACCAATTTAACTAAAACAATATAAAACATTGCTCCCACCTAGGTTCGAACGCGTGTGGAGCAAGATTTTGCGAAAACGGCATTTTTTGTCCTCTCTTCAAAAAATACCCCTCCACCTTATTTTTTAAATAATTAATTACATAACTAGCATAATTATGATACTACCCTTATCCTGGAAAAATACCATTTTAACCCTAGACCCTCCAAACATAAGATGTCCCCTCTTTATGTCAGATAAAGACTAATCCAGTATATCTTTGTATTTGAGTGCCTACATTGCTGGACCCAACCTTTACTAGATCAACTAACTCCCCAACTTATTTGGATTGGATGTCACAAGGGTTCAGAGGTCTTGTTTCACGCGTATCAATCCGTGTGAACCCGATCTAATCGTAGGTATTCTAGACACACTAACAATTACATAGCATATAATTTTTTTTTAGGTTTGTTACCTTATTCCCCCCCCCCCGCCTTAGGAACATTCATCCTTGAATGCAACTACTAACTATTTAGCATAATGCATCTCAGATCATAACGTAGTTACTATACAAAATCAAGAAATAGCAACAAAGAATGGAGAGATAAGGAAACTTGGACTTATGAGTACGAAGTCTAACCTCAAGAGCTTAAAAGATGAGAGTAGCGGTATCTCATATTGGCCTCGGCCTCCCACATAGAACATCATCAAGATGGTTCTTCCACAATACGTTCACTGTGACAATATCCTTGTTCCTTAGCCGCTTGACCGTCTTTCTAAAATCTCAATTGGTGCCTCCTCATGGGACAAGTTCATCGACCCCCAAACCTTCAACAGGTAGAATCGGTGCTAGATCACTTAGGAACATCTTTAATATAGAGATATGAAAAACATAATTAACAGAAGCTAGCTCCGCAGGCAATGCCAACTCATAGTCCACCTCACCCCAACGCTGTAGGATCTCATATGGACCAACATACCTCGGACTCAACTTCCCCTTCCCGCTAAACCTCATCACCCCCTTCATATATTATATCTTCAAAAAGACATGTTCACCAACATCAAACTCTAAGGGCAGTTTTCTGTTGTTTGCATATTACATCTATCGATAGTAAGTAGTACTAAAACTTGTCGCTATTAACCGTGACCTTCTCTAAAGCCTGATAAATTATCTCTGGACCAATAATGGACGAGTCTCCAACCTCGAACCACCCAATTGGAGACCTAAACCTACTATCATACAGTGCCTAAACTGGTTCCATCCCAATGATGGAGTGACAACTATTATTATGCGAGTACTCTATCAAATGCAAGATGGTCGTCCCAGCTACCCCTGAAGTCAATTAGACACGCCCTCAACATATCCTTCAATGTGTAAATTATGCGCTCTGCCTGTCAATCATTTTGAGGATAAAAGGCAGTACTAAGCTTCACCTGTGTTCCTAAGCTCTTCTTAAAGGATCTCCTGAAATATGAAGTGAACTGAGCTCCTCTATCTGAAATGATAGACAAAGGAATCCCATGCTATCTCAAAATCTCATCAATGTAGAGTCTCGCATAATCCTCTGCTCTTTAAGTAGACTTTAGAGGGATAAAGTCGGCAAAGTTAGTAATCCTGTCCACAATAACCCATATTGACTCATGATGTCTCCTAGTATTCGGAAGACCAACCACGAAGTCCATATAAATGGACTCCCACTTCCAAGTTGTAACCTTAATAATATGAGCAAGACCTCCATGCTTAAGATGTTCTGCCTTAACATGTTCACAATTAGGACACTTGGCCACATATTCTGCAATGTCCTTCTTCATTCCATCCCACCCATAGATCTTCTTAAGATCATGAAGCATCTTTGTAGAACCTTGATGTATGGAATATATGGAACCATGGGCCTCTGGAATGATCCTTGTCTGCCAATCATCCACATCTGGTAAACAGAGCCCGTCGTTGTACCTATGTATGTAGCCAACACCCAATTAAACGACTCATACATCTTAATCCGTACTGAGTCCTTTAACTACATCAAAACATGATCAAGATGGTGACCCTTCATGACTTCACCTAACAAGCACGATTCTGAACTAGGATGAACTTAAACACCCCTACTAGTAGAGTCAACTAACCGCACACCCAGTCTGGCGATTCTGTGTACATCTTTCACTAACTCCTTCTTCAAATCCACAACGTGGGTTGTACTTTCCATGCTCATCCTGATCAAAAAGCATCAGGTACAAATCAATCAGATAACGAAGATGAAGATAAAATCCACAACGTGGGTTGTACTTCCCATTTCTTAAGGATGTTGAAGTATCTCTTAAAGGAAAGGAGATTGCTACTTCAGATAACGAAGATGAAGATAACGAATCTTCTAATCAATCATCCCGTTCATCACCTAAAGGTATTGATGATGCAGGTATTAGTATGATCAGTAAAGTGAGACCTCAGAGTTCTCATATTATGATTAAGTTAGTAGTTAATTCTAATTTTGTACTTAACAAAATTGCTTTGTTAGACAGTGGTGCAGATCGTAATTGCATTGTTAAAGGTCTAATCCCAACCAAGTACCTCCAGAAGGGAACTACCAAGTTATACAGTGCGACTGGTGAGAATATCTGTATAAATTATAAACTTTCAAATACTCATATCTGCAATAACGGTATTTGCCTTACTAATGATTTTTTAATAACTAATAACATTAATGAGGAGATTACTTTGGGTATAACTTTTATTACCTAGATAAAACCTTGTATTTCAGATTTTGAATCAATCAAAACAAATATTTTAGAAAAAGAAATTTCATTTCCTTTTATCAAGACACTTTCTCTTGAAGAAAGTAAATTTTTGCATAAAAAAATTGTATTTAAAATCAATCAGATTTGTTTTTTTAAAAGAAGATATTAAAATTAAGAAAATTGAGCAAATTATTAAAACACCGAGAATGGTTGCTAAAATTGCCAATCTTCAAAAGCATTTTGAAAGTGAAATTTGCTCAGAATTTCCTAAAGCTTTTTGGGATCGAAAATCCCATATAATTGATTTACAATATATTGATGGACTTGATGAAAAGTCCATCTTTATAAAAGCTAGGCCTATTCAGATGAACCATGAATTAATGGAAATCTGTAAGAAAGAAATTCATACTCTTGAATAATAAAATTATTCGTCCTTCAAAATCACCTTGATGTTGTTCAACATTCTATGTTAACAATGCAGCACAAAAAGAGTGAGGTTCGTCAAGACTTGTTATTAATTGTAAACCATTAAACTCAGTTTTAAAGTGGATTCGTTATCCAATTCTTAACAAAAGGGATCTTTTAAAACGAACTTTAAAAGCTAATTTTATAGTTAATTTGATTTAAAATCTAAATTTTTGCAAATTCAAATTGCTGAATAGGATAAATATAAAACAACTTTAAATGTCCCGTTTGGACAATATGAATGGAATGTCATGCCATTTGGGCTTAAAAATGCCCCATCATAATTTCAAAATATAAGGAATTCTATATTCAATCATATTACTCATATTTTAATTTTTTATATTGATGATGTATTAATCTTTTCCGAAGACATTGATTCTCATTTCAAACATTTGAATGTTTTTTGTAAAATTGTTAAGAACAATGGATTGGTGACTAGTTCTAAAAAGATTAAATTATTTCAAACATAAATCAAATTTTTAGGACATGATATTTATCAAGGTACCTATAAACGAATTTGCAGATCAATTGAGTTTTCTGATAAGTTTCCCAATGTCATTTTAGATAAAACTCAGTTGTAAAGATTTTTAGGAAGTCTCAACTATGTAAATTATTTTATCCCCAAAATTAGGCATATTTGCAAACCTCTCTTTGATAGGTTAAAAAAGAACCCTTCAACCTGGAGTGATGAACAAACCAATGCAGTTATTCTTCTAAAGAATATAGTAAAAGAACTTCCATGACTTGGTATTTCTAACCCTGATTATTTCATGATTGTTGAGACTGATGCTTCTGACATTGGTAACGGTGGTATTCTTATACAAAGAAAAGACCCTAATTCTTCAGAATAATATGTCGGTTATACTTCTAGATTCTTGAATTCTGCTCAAAATAATTATTGCGCGATTAAAAAGGAAATTCTTGCTAATGTTCTTTCTATAACTAAGTTTCAAGATGACTTGATCAATAAAGAATTCTTGCTTAGAGTAGATTGTAAATCTGCTAAAGAAATCCTCCAAAAGGATGTTAAGAATATTGTTTCATCGAGTGACCATAACAAATACTCAGCTTTAGCAAGCTTACCACCTATATACCCAGCCTTTTCAGTAACTCCCTTTGGTCCTTTGCCTCCAAGGTCTAGTAAATCTATTAAACAGATTGATGAACCCTTTTCACACTCACCATCAGGAGCACCCAGATACTCTTCCCCCCAAACTAAAGATTCCTACACCATGAAAGTTCCAGAGAGCTTTAATGAAGCGGTTGCACCGACTGATGCTTTTACTATAGATAAAACTACAAAGATAAGAGAAACCTTTGAAATCATCTCTTTGCAGGTCTCTCCAATATTAGCCCTTGACAATGAATATGAAAATTTTGAGGTAAAACATCTTGTTAAACCTCTCTTTTCTAATAGAAATTATGCGGATACTGTTAATCACTAAAAAGAAAAAAAAACATTTTGAATTTATTCTTGTTGATATAGGTTCAATTGAGGTTGAACATAAACTTAATGATAAATCTGATTCTGATAGTGTCACATACTCTAAAGTTACTATCAAGAAAATTTTATCTCCTTTTGAGTGGAAGGCAGATCACTTGCAGTATACCTATTAATCTATCGATGGAACACTGGCCTCAAACATTCAATTGGCATGACTACAGATAAGCCTAGTTCAACTTCTTATTCCTTAGACCAATTACTCACACGTGGTTTGTCAAGTATAGCCCCGAAGTGACTAAGAGAGTCATCACGAGATGGTTTTATGAATGGTGGAAGTATTTTGGGGGAAATATACAAGTTCTGCACAAAAACTTTGCTGACAAATTCAATGAGTTTCAGCTAGACCAAACGTATCTTCTCCCCAAGAGAACATAAAACTATGTAAATATTTTATTCAAAAAAGATTTTCTTATATTATTAGTTGGAATTTTTTTATTGTAGAATTTGACAGGATCAAGTATGTGTCGAGAGTAGTCCTGATCAAAGGATGGTGTCTAGCTCAAAAAGAAGCTGCAGTCGTTAACCAATCGATCTCTAAAAGATCTCCCCAGAAGTATTTATCTAAGAATGAAGTAAAGATAAGACTACAAAAGGCCTTGTCAGACCTGGACTCTGAAGATAATGAATAGCCCATAATGAAGCTCCTTGAAGAAGCTTCGTCCTCTCAAAGTGAAGATAATGGAGACATGTTGAAACCTAAAGTGTTGGCATAGTCTTATTTGGAACCATTTTATGATTAATCGCTAGTTGAGGGTATTAAAATCTTGAATAACTAGTCTTTCAGAAAGAGGCTCATAGAGCTGGAATTATCAAGAAAGAAAAGGAAGAGTCTGAAAGATATGGAATTTCCTTTTGATTAAATTGTAAGTAAACTTTGCCAGGACCCACAAAGCATGGTCTACAAAGAATCATCAACAATTATGGCCGACAAAATGGCAGACATAAGATTATGAAAAGATAATGGTTAAGAGGCTTTTCAAAAGAATACAAAATACTTTGCTTTATAAAAAGCAACAGACGGAAATCAACAACAAATCAGAAGAAAAGCTTTTAGATTTCCCTTATCCTTTCTAGTCTATATAAGACCTTGTATTTTCATATGAACATTTGGGGTATCATTGGCGGAATTATAAAAGAATAAAATAAAAGGAAGAACTTACAAAAGATAAAGCTTTATTCCATAACATATTGCATAATGTTTACAGATAGAGCATTCAAGAAAATTTAGTGTATCGTAATTTATCTGGTGCTCTTCATGTGAAAATACAGGGTCTTATATAGACATGAAAGGATAAGGGAATCCTAAAAGATTTTTTTCTGATTGGCTCTTGATTTCCGTCCGTTGATTTTGATAAAGCAAAGTATTTTGTTTTCTTTTGAAAAGCATCTTCACCTTTATATTTTGATATAGTTATTTCTGCCATTTTGTCGGCCATAATTGTTGATGATGCTTTGTAGACCATGCTTTGTGGGTCCTGGCAGAGTCTACTTATAATTTAATCAAAAGGAAATTTCATCTCTTTGAGACTCTTCCTTTTCTTTCTAGATAATTCCAGATCTATGAGCCTCTATCTGAAAGACTAGTTATTCAGGATTTTAATACTCTCCACTAGCTATTTATCATAAAATGGATCAAAATAAGACTGTGGCAAACCTTTAGGTTTCAACATTGTCTTCACTTTGAGAGGACGAAGCTTCTTCAAGAAGCTTTATTATGGGCTGTTCATTATCTTCAAAGTCCAGGACTTACAAGGCCTTTTGTAGTCTTATCTTTAGTTCATTCATAGATAAACACTTCTGCGGAGATCTTTTAAATATCGATTGGTTAACGACTGCAGCTTCATTTGGAGCTGGAGACCATCCCTTAATCAGGACTTCTCTCAATAGATACTTGACCTGTCAAATTCTGCTATACAAAAAGTTTAACTAATAATATAAGAAATTCTTTTTTGAATAAAATATTTACATAGTTTTATGTTCTCTGGGAGAGAACATACGTCTTGGTCTAGCTGAAAGTGACTAAATTTGTCAGCAATGTTTTTGGGCAGAACTTGAATATTTCCGCCAAAACAGTTCCACCATTAATAAAACCATCTCGGGATGACTCTCTTGGTCACTTCTAGTCTATATTTGACAAAACACGTGTGAGTAGTTGGTCTAAGGTATATGAAGTTGAACCATGCTGATCTGTAGTCATGCAAATTAAATGTTTGAGGTCTGTGTTCCCCCGATAGATTAATAGGTGTATGCAACTGATCAACCTGCCACTCAAAAGGAGATAAAATTTTTTTGATAGTCACTTTAGAGTAAGAGATACTATCAAGATCAGGGTTATCATTAAGTTTATGTTCAACCTGAATTTAACCTGTATCAACAAGAATAAACTCAATGTATTTTCTTGTTCTTAGTGGATTATCAGTATCCACATAATTTCTATTAGAAAATAGAGGTTTAACAAGATGCTTTACCTCAAAATTTTCATATTCTTTGTCAAGGGCTTATATTGGAGAGACCTACAAAGAGATGATTTCAAAGGTTTCTCTTACCTTTGTAGTTTTTTCTGTAGTAGAAGCAGTAGTCGGTGCAAGCGCTTCTTTATAGCTCCATGGAACTTTCATTGTGTAGGAATCTTTAGATTGGGGGGAGGATTATCTGGGTACTCCTGATGGTGAGTGTGAACAGGGTTCAGCAATCTGTTCAAAAGGTTTAATAGAACTTGGAGGAAAAGGAGTTATTGAAAAGGCTGGGTTTAAGGGTGGTAAGCTTGCTAAAGTTGAGTATTTGTTTTGGTCACTCGATGATGGCCTTATAGTAAATGGTTTTGCAGAAGGTTTTCCTTCAGGATTTTTTCCCTTATTCTTGAAGGGGCTTCCAGTTATGTCTTTTGAAGAGGGCCTCATTATGATTTTCCCTGCAAGAATTCACGAGTTAGGAAATCTGGTAACGAATTATTTTCACCTTTAATAAATTCAATTATTTTCACCTTTGTAGTTTTTTCTGTAGCAAAAATTTGTTTAGAAACAATATTTTTTAACTTCCTTTTGGAGGATTTCTTTAGAAGATTTACAATCTACACTAAGCAAGAATTATTTATTGATCCAGTCATCTTGAAACTTAGGTATACAAATAACAATAGCAAGGATTTCCTTTTTGATCGTGCTATAATTATTTTGAGCAGAATTCCAAATTCTAGAATTATACCGAACTAATTGTTCTGAAGAATTTTGGTATTTTCTTTGTTTAAGAATACAACCGTAACCAATGTCAGAAGAATCAGTCTCAACAATCATGAAATAGTTAGGATCAGAAACACCAAGGCATGGAACATCTTTAACCATATTGCTTAGAAGAATAACTGCATCGGTTTGTTCATCACTCCAAGGTGAAGGATTCTTCTTTAACCTATCAAAGAGAGGTTTGTAAAAATGCCTAACTTTGGGAATAAAATCGGCTACATAGTTGGGACTTCCTCTAAATCTTTGCAACTGATTTTTATCTAAAATTACATTGGGAAACTTATCAAAAAACTCAATTTATCTGCTAAATAGTTTATAGGTACCTTGATAAAGATCATGTCCTAAAAATCTGATTTTTGTTTGAAATAATTTAATCTTTTTTGCACTAATGACTAATCCATTGTGCTTAACAATTTTAAATAAAACATTTAAATGTTTGAAATGTGAATCAATGTCTTCGGAAAAGATTAATACATCATCAATATAAACAATTGAAATATGACTAATATGATTGAATATAGAATTCATAATATTTGAAATTCTTATGGGGCATTTTTAAGCCCAAAAGGCATGACATTCCATTCGTATTGTCCAAACGGGACATTTAAAGTTGTTTTATATTTATCCTTTTCAACAATTTAAATTTGCCAAAATCCAGATTTTAAATCAAATTTACTATAAACATTAGCTTTAAATGTTCGTTTTGAAAGATCCTTTTTGTTAGGAATCGGATAAGGAATCCACTTTAAAACTGAGTTTAACGGTTTGTAATTAATAACAAGTCTTGGGGAAACTCGTTCTTGTTTAGCTGCATTGTTAACATAGAATGCTGAACAGCTCCAAGGTGATTTTGAAGGACGAATAATTTTATCATTCAAAATAGTATGAATTTTTTTCTTACAGATTTCCATTAATTCATGGTTCATCTGAATAGGCCTAGCTTTTGTAGAGATGGCCTTTTCATCAAATCCATCAATAAATTGTAAATCAGTAATATGGGATTTTCGATCCCAAAAGGCATTTGGAAATTCTGAGAAAATTGCACTTTGAAAATTCTTTTGAAGATTGGCAATTTTATCAACCATTCTCCGGGTTTTTAAAATTTGCTCAATTTTCTTAATTTTAACATCTTGTTTAAAAACAAATCTGATTGATTTTAAATGCAGTTTGTTTATGGAAAAAATTACTTTCTTTAAGAGAAAGTGTCTTGATAAAATGAAATGAAATTTCTTTTCCAAATTTTTTTGTTTTGATTGATTCAAAATCTGAAATATAAGGTTTGATCTGGGTAATAAAAGATATACCCAAAATAATCTCCTCATTAATGTTTTTAGTTATGAAAAAATCATTAGAAGGGCAAATACCGTTATTGCAGATATGAGCATTTGAAAGTTTATAATTTGTATAGATATGCTCACCAGTCGCGCTGTATAACTTTGTAGTTCCCTTCTTGAGGTACTTTGTTGGGATTAGACCTTAAACAATGCAATTACGATCTACACCACTATCTAACAAAGCAATTTTGTTAAGTACAAAATTAGAATTAACTACTAACTTAATCATAATGTAGGAACTCTGAGGTCTCACCTTAGTGATCATACTAATACCTGCATCATCAATACCTTTAGGAGATGAAGGGGCTGATTGACTGGAAGATTCGTTATCTTCATCTTTGTTATCTAAAGTAGCAATATCTTTTCCTTTAAAAGATATTCAGCATCCTTAAGAAACTATTTTGCTAAAGCATAAATTTAAATTTTGTTAAGTCTTGTCTTCACATCTCGAACTTCTTCATTAAGGAGTTAACTTCTGCTCGAAGATCATTGATAGATGGTTCTTCGTCTTATCTCTATATTTTTGCATGATTTGTTTCATGCTATAAGGAATTACATTTCTTGCAACTTCTTTTTCTTTCTGTTTAGTCACAAGCTTTTGAAGCTCTAGAAGATATCTTCTTCGGGCATCATTATCTTTGATGTTCTCAATAGATGCAATAAGATTTCTGCAGAGTCTTCAGAGAGAACTCTGACAAATTGTCTATCACAATGACAAAATGCTCCCTAGCAATTGCATTCGTGACCATTATCTTGAGAATCATTGAGGAAATTTTCGTCCTCAGTTTCTTCTTCTTCTGAAGAGGAAGACGAATCTGATTCTTATTCGATTGATATAGACAAACACTTTTCCTTAGTTTCTTCATCTACTTCAAGAATATTGATTTTCTTCCTTTTTCTTTTGTTTCTAGGACAATCAGAGGACTTGTGTCCTGACTTTCTGCAAGTCTTACATTTGTCATCGTTAGATGTGTTGCGAGAAGTTTTCTTACTTCTCTTTCCATTTGAAGATATTATTTTATGTGTTGATTTTTTCCAGATCGTTCTTTCTTTGAAATTATTTTTGCAGAAGGGGGTTTTAGACTTGGGAAGCCAAAGTCTTGACAGAAACTACCAAGTTCATTGCTTGTGAATTTTTTATCTTTCTTAAGATGTTCCTTTATCTTTAAATCAGTATATAGCTCCATTGCTACGAAATAAATCAAGCTGGTAAGGTCTCCATAAGTCATTTCAGAATTTGGAATTTTACCTTCGCATCGATCTCTTATTTTGGATCGGACCTTTTCTGTAAATTGGGGAGGTAATCCACTAAGGAATCTTTCTTTCCAATAATCATTGTTGCAGTCATCTCTTGGAATGTACTTTGTAATAAACATATCTTTATACCATTTGAAATATTTCAATTTCATGCAGTAAAGATAGTTTAATATTTCAAAACATTTGTCTTGAAATAATCGTGGTTCTCCCACAAAATGTTTAGCAATGCTGTAAAGTAGGGTTCGGTTGCATCCTCAACTACCTCTAAAGAAGTAGTAGTTTGACCTCCTTCAGTATTAACAACATTCTTGCTTGCCACAGCATCAAGAATCTCATTTTATTTTGTTCTGTGTGATAGTTGTCCCACCAGTTTTTAGACTATCTGTAAAACCTGCAACTATCCTATTAGCTGCTTGCTTATCTGTGGCTATCATCCATTTATACGATCTGATGTTTATTCCCATCTCTTTGAGTTTATTATAGATTTGAATATCAGCCATACCATCTATATTCCATTCTGTTATCCCTGTACCATCTTCAACACTCTAGGGATGCATATTGTTTTCATCGAACTAGATATAAGGAAAAGAAGGTCGGG